AGTTAGCTCTCATTTCTGGGGTGGAGGGAGGGTCTCAGAAGGCATGGCCAGGCGTTGCCTCTGGCTGCCGGTCCTGACCCAGCCCCTCCATCTGCTCAGCAAAGGTTGGGGGGGGGGATGCTGTCCATGGCAGGAACCGAGGACCCACGGATGCCCCTCTTCCCCAAGCCAGGAGGGAACTGGAGGCCGAGGGCTCTGCTCAGCCTCAGTGCTGACACAGCCCGAGGCCCTTGGGTTCTTGCAAGCCTCTTCTGCCTCCTCCCTTAACTCACTTTATTAGCAGAGGCTCTTACATGCTGCCTGGACCTTCCTGGGCGCCTTTCACTTAGACTAACCTGAGCATGACTTGCTCCGGAGGAGTATGAGGGGGTGGTGGGACTCTTGTTCTTCACACACAGCCTTCCCAGTGCTTCTTCGATACACAGGCTTCCCAGTGCTTCTTTGATGCACAGAGCTGGTTTCTTTCTGTCTGCTGCCCACCTGAGCATTCCTTACCACTTCCTGTCCCCGTGCCCTTGGCAGACAGCCCCAGACACCAGCGTGAGTGCAGCCCTGAGCTGAGCGAGGTGCAGCGCCAGTGATGGGCTGTGCGTTTCCTTTCGGTGGTCCACCCTCCGCCTGGGGGATCCGGCTTTTCTTGCAATGTCTCGGTGGAAAATGGCCCGGCCGTGCTCCTTAACGCCCATGATCTTTGGTACCAATTGGCTTCTGTTGTGTACTTTTCCCCCTTCCTCACCCAACTGGCTGTGTCCGTTATGGGGTTTGGTTTCTAGAAGGTTCTGGTCAGGAGGCAGGCAGGAGCGAGCCATCTGGCCGCTCATGTCTGCCCATTCTCTTCTCGCTTCAAGAAAGACCGTATTTTTTCTTAGAAATTTAACACCCATTGCTGTGCGTTTACACATTGATTTCCAGATCCTTTCTTATGTGGAATGAGGGGTTTGGCAGAGATGGGCTGGCTGCTTTGGACCCATCTCCCAACTTGGCATGCTGTTCACTCTGGTCTGATGGACCCAGGCCCCCGGACGCGCATCCTGTGCTTGATCATGCTGTGATCAGAGTCCACCCCCCCACCAACCCGGGGCTGGTTCCCGGGGCGTGGCCCCTAAGACGCGGGGGTCCTCTGTCCTCCTGGGCTCTTTTCGGTGGGCTCCTTGGCCGCTGTGGGCAGGACACACTCCTGGCTCTGTTTTAGGAACAGCGAGGAGCACAGGTGGACAGAGCGGCAGATTTCTCAGCTTCAGACAGGATGTCTAAACGGGACCCGTCACCCCCGCGTCCCCCGTCCCTTGGTTTGTCATTGGTGCTCCAGGAGTCTCCTGAGATCATGGGTCAGGAGGGTGCGGGTCTGCGTCCTCCGTGCTGCTGGGGTGTGGACCTCCTCAGCCCCGGGCCAGGTCAGGGTCGGGATGGGGCTGGCCCTGCCTGAGCCCCCGCTCCGTGGGCGCCTTTTCCCCTCCAGACTCAGCAGCTTGAACTGGGACACTGTGTCCGCGGCGCCCGGCCAGAACAAAGTAGCACAGACTGGGGGGGCTTCCACAAGACGCGTATTTCTTCTCCCTTCTGGAGGTTGGAAGTTCAAGGTCAAAGTGTCGGCAGGGCTGATGTCACCTGAGGCTTCTCTCCTTGGCCCGAAAGTGACCGCCTTCTCCTGTGTCTTCCCCTCCGTGCCCCGGGGGTCCTCAGCTCCTCTTCTCGTGAGGACCCCAGTCCTGTTGAATGAAATCTCCACTCTGATGACTTCATCTTGACTTAATTACCTCTTGACAATTTATTTATTTATTTGAGAGACAGCAAGAGAATGTGGGGCAGGGAGAGGCAGAGGGAGAGAATCTCAGGCGGACTCTGTGCTGAGCGTGGAGCCCGATGCGAGGCTCGATCCCACAACCCTGAGACCACGACCTGAGCCGAAATCAAGAGTCGGATGCTCAACCAACGGAGCCACCCAGGCGTGCCGACTTCATCCCCTTTATAAAGGCCTGCCTCCAAATAGGGTCCCATCCTGAGGTCCTGGGGGTTAGGACTTCCACATACACGAACTTTGTGGGGTTCACAGTTCAGGTCCTGTTACGTACTCCATTCGTTCATCTGCACCTGTGCTTGCATCCAGAACTGTAGGGCTTGATCAAGGTTGCGTGGGATTTTAGAAAATAGTAAAATTTATACATGTTTGGAACGCACGGGGCGGGGCGGGGGGGGGTGCCTCCGGAAATCGTTTTCTGTAGGAATTACGATTGCTTCAGCGTTTTTATTTTGTTAGGTTTTCTCGTTTCAACCTTTAAAAATACATAGCTAAGGGGCGCCTGGGTGGCTCAGTCACTGGGGCGTCTGCCTTCGGCTCGGGTGGGGATCCCAGGGTTCTGGTATTGAGCCCCGCATCGGGCTCCCTGCTCCGCGGGAAGCCTGCTTCTCCCTCTCCCGCTCCCTCTGCTTGTTTTCCCTGCTTGTCTCTCTCTCTGTGTGTCAGATAAATAAATAAAATCTTTAAAAAATAAATAAAATAAACAAATAAAAATACATAGTTAACTTGACCCATGATCTCAGGTGCCCCTTACTACTTACTATGTAGTCTGTTTTACTGACTTCATTGTATGCATGTGTTTCTTCCGATGATTTGAAAGGTTTACAACCTGCTTTTAGTTCTAGTAGTTGTCTTGGCGACTACCGTGTGACTTTATAATATACTCCGTCCCTGGTTCTTTAGGTATACTTGCTCACCTACCACTGTGAGCTGTGAAAAAATTACTCTGAAGAGTGATAATCTTAACAAAAATAATGAATGTTTATTATACCTTATTTAAAACAATTAAAAGAAATTTGTCTCTACAGCCCTGTGTTGGGAGGAATTTATCATATCCATTTTAAAGGGGAGGGATTCACAGAGAGCCTGCCCAAGGCCACTTGGGATAGTACCTTTTTTTTTTTTTAAGATTTTATTTATTTATTTGACAGAGACAGCGAGAGAGGGAACACAAGCAGGGGGAGTGGGAGAGGGAGAAGCAGGCTTCCCGCCGAGCAGGGAGCCTGATGCGGGGCTCGATCCCAGGACCCCGGGATCACGACCTGAGCCGAAGGCAGACGCTTAACGACTGAGCCACCCAGGCGCCCCTTTAAGGAGAGTTTTTAAGGGGAATTGGTCTTTTTTTTTTTTAAGATTTTATTTATTTATTTGACAGAGAGAGACATAGCGAGAGAGGGAACACAAGCAGGGGGAGTGGGAGAGGGAGAGGCAGGCTTCCCCGCGGAGCAGGGAGCCTGATGTGGGGCTCGATCCCAGGACCCCGGGATCCTGACCTGAGCTGAAGGCAGACGCTTAATGACTGAGCCACCCAGGCGTCCTGGGGAACTGGTCTTAGGCTGTTGTCTCCACATCCGATGCTGGAGCTCAAAGCCCACAGGGCAGGCAGAGTGAGGAAGGGAGGATCATGAGCCGGAGACCAGTGGGAATGGATTAAAGTTGCCTCTGACCTTGGTGGTATGAGTGTCCTGAAGAAGCCAAGGCCCTTGGTCACGGAGTGAGCCGCACACACTTGGCCCCTGAGTCAGAGAAGCCGGAGGAGCGTCTGGGGCAGGTCAGCCACAGCATGCGTGAGCTACTTTTGCCCTCCAGAACCCTCCAGAATCTTCCTATGGTGCACCCTGACCCAGAACATTCGAGAAAATGTGCTCTGGCAACTGACGTTCAGTCTGGGCAGGCTGACACCTTAGAAGTCCATCACACTGCCAGGAGGTGGGAAGAGAGCAGCCTGGGGCGTCAGAATGACCTAAATTTAAGGAAACTGATCTGTGCCTCTTCCGGGAAGGGGGGGAATAATGATGCCAATACCCTCTCTGTGGAGGGTTATTAACGGATGCCAAGGGCCCCACTTTGCTTCTGGATGGAAGGTAAGAAATCTCAGACTTCTGTAGTTCTTGACGCTACCCAGGAGCATAATATCTCCAGATAATTAAGTCTCACTTTATCTCCTCAATAAATGGCTTCTCGTGTAGTCCCTGCATCGAGTTCATTCCCAGGAAGTTGATCTTCCTTCTTGTTATTGTGAATAAAATTTAATTATGTTTTAAAATTGGTTATTGATGATCTATGGTTCCAGAAGGATGTTAATAGTCATGTTCCGTCTTTAATGGGAATCCCTCTGGGGTTTCCTCCTAGCTCTGATACTGGCTGTTGGTTTTCGATAGCATGGGTATTTTCTATTTTGCATTTTAATATCCTTTTTATGGGTGTTTTTCTGTGTCCTTATGGGGAGTCTAAGACGAAGCTGGTCCTAATACCAAAGAGAGGTATTTTTGAAGCTACAAATAGATGTGGGATTTTATCAAAGGATGCGTTGCCAGCATCTCTCCAGATTATCATGTATAGTTTCAATTTAAAAATAATATGATTACCAATATTAATAGTTTTCCTAGCAGGACAGAGTGTTGACATCAGAGGCAACTTGGTAGAAAGAGCATAGGATGCAGTGTCTGGAAATGTGGATTCTAGTGCTAGCTTGTTTTTTTTTTTTAAGATTTTATTTATTTATTAGAGAGAGAGAGAGCACAAGCAGGGGGAGCAGCAGAGGGAGAGGGAGGAGAAGGCTCCCCACTGAGCAGGGAGCCCGATGTGGGGCTCAATCACAGGACCCTGGGATCGTGACCTGAGCCGAAGGCAGACGCTTAACCGACTAAGCCACCCAGGCGCCCCTAGCTTGGTTTTTGATTATGAATTTGACCTTGGACAAGGCAGTATGTTTCATTTCCGCCTTAATAGTGTCCCACACGTCTGTTTTCTTACCTGTAAAATGGGCATAGTTATGCTTTCCTTTCCTACCACTGAGTTGGAAGGATAACAATGAATCTGTAGTCCCTTCCCCACATTGATTTAAATGCTTTCCCATCTCTAAAAGAACCATGAAAAAAGTATAAAAATCGTGATCCCATGGACCACCGTCAACCAACAATTCGTTTTGCATTCACTCATTTGGCCAACAAATATTAATTGAGCAACTGCAGCATGCTAGGAATTGTTCCAGACACTGGGAACACAGCAGTGAACAAAGTAGACCAATTCCCTGCACAGTAGAGCTTACATTCCAACAAACGGACAAACACTGGAAAGGTCGATAAAGCAGGGAGAGGGAGGGAGTGTGAGGAAGGGTCCGGGGAGGCTTACTTGTAAGTGGGGCGGTCAGAGAAGACCTCACTGAAGTGACGTTTGAGCAGAGGAGGGAATGAGCTGGATAGAGGTCTGGGGGAAGGCTGTTCTGTGCAGAGGGATGGCATGTGCAAAGGCCCTGAGGTACAACAGGAATGCCAACGCAGCTTGCATTGGGTGAGCAGGCAGGAGGGGAGGGAAAGTTTGAGGTCTGAGAAGTTGAGGAGGGTCAGGTCATGCAGGACCTCTTTTTCCATCCTAAATCGGTCACTCTGGCTGCCTGTGGAGAGTGGATAGAAGCTGGTGATGGGTGGAGACAGGCCGAACCGAGGGCATGGTGGTCCAGTCGGGGATGATAGCAGGATATATGGTGGGAAGTATCGGATATGGGGTCCAGTTTGAAGAAGGGGCTGGTGGAGTGTGCTGATGAGTTGCACGTCTCCTGTAGGAACAGCTACTTGGCTCTTCCTGCCAGAAGAAAATGTGTCTGCCACCCTCATGATAGTTTGGGGCGCTGAGTTGGGGGAAACTGAGGACTCCCAGCATGTCTCCACACCGATGGCTGGGCTTGGATGTCCGCGGGAGAAATTCCGCTCTGGGGCCTGGCCCAGGAACGCAGGCCCCACAGAAGGGCAGCTCCCCTCATGCCCCCTGTCCCCGAGGGTCATCGAGCCCTGCACCATCCCCTTAAGAGTCGGTGTTAGTCACGGAATACTTGGCCATGGGTGATACCGTGATTCATTAATAAAAGACAGACAACATTTGGGAGGCATTTGCTTTAATTCAGGGCGTCTCGTCCTCCCTCAGACAGCCCTTTGTGTTCTCATGAGGTGGGACCCACCCACGTGCTCCGGGTGTGTGTGTGTGGGGGGGCGCAAGTTGCTCATTTATACCCTTGTGCTCTCAACTACTCCAACTCGGATCTGGAAAAAGTCTCTTCTCTCCCTCTTTGGGCTTCGGGTCTTCCCTGCTGTTTCCTGCTACTCTTCTTCCCTTGGATCGAATGCTGAAAATCTAGTTCCTTCCCGGAGCTTCTTTGGCATCTGGCTCCGAGCTGTGCAAATCCCCCACCGGGGCTGGTGGGCATCCCGTCACCATGCATCCCCCTTCCCCCCACCCCTGCAGCTCTGAGGCCTGCCTGCTTGCAGAGCACAGAGCTCAGAAGGTGGTAGCAGAGCTTGTGGGTGCAAAGGAGAGAAAAAGACGAGATTGTTTCCTCCACGTGAAGACAGGAAAGCACACGTTAAAAATAACACTAACCAGCGGAATCAGGAGCACAAACAAGCGTAAGCCAAGAGATAACTACTGCCTCGCCTGCCTTTAGTAGTCCAGGAGAAATCTCTCTGGCTGGCTCAGGGTCTGGGGAGCCTTCCCTCTGGGGAGCCAATCTGAGTAATGGGCAGAGGCTTAAAGTCGGAGCAGTCTGGAAGGCGAGTTTTATTTTTCATTTATTTTTTTGAAGATTTTATTTATTTATTTATTTGACAGAGAGACACAGTGAGAGAGGGAACACAAGCAGGGGGAGTGGGAGAGGGAGAAGCAGGCTTTCCGCAGAGCAGGGAGCCCGATGTGTGGGACTCCATCCCAGGACCCCAAGATTATGACCTGAGCCGAAGGCAGAGGCTTACTTGACCGAGCCACCCAGGCATCCCTGCCATTTCCCCCCCTTTTTAAAAATTTTTTAACAGTCGTTAAGCGTCTGCCTTTGGCTCAGGTCATGATCCCAGGGTCCTGGGATCGAGCCCCGCATCGGGCTCCCTGCTCCGCGGGAAGCCTGCTTCTCCCTCTCTCTCCCTCTGCTTGTGTTCCTGCTCTCGCTATCTCTTTCTCTGTCAAATAAATAAATAAAATCTTCAAAAAAACTTTTTTTAATTTATTTTTTTTTTTAAAGATTTTGCCACCCCCCTTTTAAAGAGACTTTAAAGATCCAATCCCCTTTGGGCCACCTGGCTGGCTCTTGACCTCAGGGGGTTGTGAGTTTGAGCCCCATGTTGGGTGTAGAGGTGACTTAAAAGTAAAAAATCTTAAAAAAAAAAAAAACAACCAAAAATTTAAATAGCTTTTAAATAATCTTGGGTTGCCCGAGTGATGTTCCCTGGAATGCGATGCCGGGTGGAGTCCGGGCCACGGCTCCGTGGACAGCCTTTGATGACAGGTGGCCATCGTCCGCGTGTGTCCTCGTACGTGTGTATGTGTGCAGTGGGGCTGGGGTTGAAGGTCACGGATTCGGTGGCTGGGTTCTACGGCAACTATGCTTAACCTTTGGAGGAACTTTGAGAAGATTTTCCAAAGCTGCTGGCCGCTTTACAACCCCATCTGTGTGAGGGTCTAATTCCTCTGCATCCTTGACAACATTTGCTAGTATCGGTCTTTCCGATCACGGCTATTCTCATGGGTGTGACGTGCGACTTCATTGCGGTTTTGATTTGCATTTTCCTGCGTTTTCCTGGAGGCTAATGGTATTAAACATCTCTTCAAGTGCTTACTGGCTTCCTGGGTCTTGGGAGAAAGGTCTTGTCAAAAACCTGTGCCCATTTTTCGGCAACCGAGTTAAATTACCGATGTCGTTTCATTTTACTGGGTTTGTAAGTGTTCTTTATATATTCCAGATAAAAGTCCCTTATCAGATAGACAATTGGCAGAAATGTCCTTCTGTTCTCTGGGGGTTCTCTTTTCACTTTCTTTATGGTCTCCTTTGAAGCACAAAAGTTTTTAACTTGGGTGATGTCGACTTTATGTATTTTTTATTTCCTTCTCTTGCATGTGGCTTCTGTTGTTATACCTGAGAAACTGGCTAAGTTGAGGTCGTGAAGATTTACACCTGTTTTCTCCTAAGAGTTTTATAGGTTGGGCTCTTACATTTATTAGGACTTAGATCTGCCTCGCGGTAACGTTTGTAAATGGTGTGAGAAAGGGGTCCGGCTTCATCCTTTCGCTTGTGGCTCTCCTGTTCCAGCACCCCTTTGTTAAAAAGGCTGTCCTCTCTCCATGTTAGGCCTTGGCGCTTTTGCCATCAGGGTTTAACTATGCTATTTATTTTAAGTCTCTGGGTGGGGAAGCGTCTACTGACCCGCAGGGAGAAAGCAAATCAATCAAGGATCACTTACAAAACAAAAATGCTTTTGTTTGGAATTCTAAACAAGATTTCGATGGAAACCTTCACTGGAAATGAAAATCGGCAACAGACAATGCGGTTGAATAGATAGAAGTCAGGAAACACGGAGTTTTATGAAACTGGCCCAGTTGGCGGGGGTGGGGTGGGGGGGGCCCTTGGCCACAGCCAGCTCTGGAATTCGATGGTGTGTGGATCGAAAACCAGAGCTGATTGCATCAAGTGTGGGAGCCCAGGCTGCAGGGCTGGGAGCATGGGGAGCCCCGTGTCCCACCCCAGCCCACCCTCCCCCAATGCCTCCTTAGCTCCAGGAGGTCAGTCCCGGGACAGCTGGGCACGGGGAGCAGCAGGCTGTGGGATGCCAGTTCTTCTTTGGCCTTGATTCAGGAAGGGGATTAGGGAATTATTTCTTCTAGAAGCCTCCACCGCAGAACGGAATCCTGGAGCGCCGAGGCCTCTGCCTCCCACACGTGGGTTGGGCGGCCCCGGAACTGTGGGTGTGGGCCGGGGAGGATGCACGCACGGCCTCCTTGTGATCCAGGGCCCCAGCCCCGGGCCAGGCCGTGTGCTGGGGTCCCCAGGCCTGGCCCGGCTCCCAGGAAACTGGACCTGCATCTCCCTGCCACCCCCACCCCGGCCAGCCCTGCCGCTCCTGGGCGTCCACCCCAGCTGAACCCCCGAGAGCAGAGGATTAGCTCAGTCCCAGATGTTTAGATCCCTAACTCAGCGTTTGCATGAGATTTGTCGAGAGCCTTTGTGCTCCCCAAGGTGGTCCAGGAGTTGGCTCAGATCTTGGTGTGGTTCTCGTGTCAAATCAGCATTTTTGGGGAGAGGCTTGGGGGTTCCAGGATTTACTCGGAGCTTTTTGCCCTGGGTTCCACTGAACCCGGGTTGGAACCTGCCCAGTGTTGGGGGGCTTAGGGTTGGTGGAGACGGTGGCCCTCTTCTTAGAGGGGAATCCAATCAGGACTTTGGGGGAATTCTCCACCCTGGTTCAGGTTAGTGCTTTTCAAAATCAAGTCCTCAAGTTGTAGCCTCCAGCCCTGAGTCTGTCCCTCTGTGAGTGCCCAGTTGAAATGCTTTCGGGGAAGCTGGGTGGGGCTGGTGGTGGTGAGGGTTCTGGAACCAAGGAAGAGTGAGCATTCCCTGCAGTATTACAGACCCAGGTCTCTTCCAGAGCCTGGAGCCAGCTGGCAAAAGCCCCAGCCCCTGGCCGGCCACCCCCAGGTGGTCCGGCTTCACACTACAGACTGCAGCAGGGGGAGGACCAGGCAGTGACCCCCTGGAACCCAGGAGTCCCCCTGATGGAAGCTGGAGCCGGGTCCAAGGAGGGGCTTGGGGGGGGTCCTGCTGCCCCCCCCCCAGGGCTCCCCAAGTCTCTCTGTTGATGAGTTAATTTCAGCATTCAAAGTGAGGCCGGTACCCACAATCTCAGCATGTTGGATCATCTCAGATGGTGGTGATGGGTTCTGATGTCAGTGGCCACGTAGGATTCCCTGAGATCCCAGGAATTATGTGCCATTGGAAATCGTAGGGAATCATCCAATCGTAGGGAATCGTAGGGAATCAGCCAATCAGCCAGTCGTAGGGAATCCTGGCCCAGCTGGAAATCCCAAATCTCCCCATCTTAAAATGTCGGTATTGATTCAAATAGAAAACAACAGCAGACCACACAGTGCGCTGGCCAAAACCTACCAACAGCCTCCTTGTAACCCTTCTCTCTGCATGGGCAATGGGGTGCTAGGGACAGGTGGTGACTCACCCAAGGTCGCCAATCCAGTAAGTAGCCTGCGCTCACACCCTGGTTTCTAGACTCCCAGGCTCCGGGTCTGTGTCCAGTCAACCTTACCAGTACCCTCCCGTCAAGCAAGGTGAAGGAAGATCATTCAGCTTAGTAAGGGGCCGAGCTGGGATTTGAACCCAGAACTGGCTGGCTCTGTCCATCCGTCCTGGTGTTACTGGGGTGAGAACTGGGCTCTGCTCGATTCTGGAGCATATTTTCTTTCCCAAGCGCCACACCGGGATTGGCTCCTAACCCTCGAAACCCAGACCTGTTGCTTGACCAGTGAGCAGCCTTCCCCGAATTCTGGGGACTTTTCCAGAGCAGGAGGAGATCGTGAGGGTACACGTGTGTGCATGTGCACATGAATTCTGTCCCTTTTCCTCACACCCATTCATCATTCCCGGTGTCGTCCCTGGAGCTCTGAGGAGTTCCCCAGAAGGAGGAGTCGGAGCAGATGCTTTTCCCAGTTGGAGAAGCAACCCCCGCTTAGCAAGAAGCACCCACCTAACCCGTGCCCTCCCTGAGCCACCGGCTCGGTCGCCGCTGGTGAGTTGGCATCTCCAGGCTCAGCCTGCACTGTGGGGTCCCCTGCGGATTGGGGGGGGGGCGCCCTGGGAATTTGAGTCAAAACCACAGATTGGCGGCACCCTCAGCGGGCAGATCTGGGGAGCTCCCGGAGCGCACCTTGTCGGGCTCCCCATGGCTCCATGATGGGGGTCCAGAGTGTGTATGTGTGTGTGTGTGTGCAAGGGTTGGGGGCGGGGGGCAGGAAGTGTTCATAAATGAAGCAGGGTGGTGGGGCTTCTCAAAGATTCACTAGCTCAATATTTTCCGGATGTTTTCATCGTCCTTTAAGGCTGACCCAGAGGAGGGCTGTTAAACAGGACTTAGCCTGACTTCTCCAGTGGCTCTTACCCTCCACGACTCCTTGACCCTCTACCCTGGCCTCCTTCCCGGCACCACCCCGATGCCACCCCATCACTCTCATACCATTCCCTCCTCCTTTTGTTCTGCTGGAAAGAGGACCGTCTTCTCTCCCTCTCTTTAGTTATATAATCCCTTAATAGTTGTACAACCTGGTTTCTTTCTTTACGCTTAAAATCGACTGCATATCTTTCTGTGTCACTATGTGTTATGTAAAGCATTCTTTTTGGTGTTTGCTATTAGTTCCTTGTTTGGATGAACTGTTTATTATTTATAATCCCCCAGTGATGGACACTGAGGTTGCTTCCTTTTTTTTTTTTTTTCTTTTTTGGCTATTAAAATCCCTGGCGCTGACCATCCTCATGGTGACATCCCCTCACACTGAGATTGATTTGCTCTTTGGAAAGGTTGTACGGATTCACAGCGCTTGGAATGACTAATGCCCCATTTGTTGGCCAAGACTGGGATGGGCAGGCCTACACAGAGCTCCCCCCCCACTTTTTTTAGAGAGAGGAAAACATAAAAAGAGAACACGTAGTGACAGATTCTACCAGTGCCCTTATGGGTCACATTCTTCCCAACGCCTCGCTCCTGCATGTCCTTCCCTGTCCCGTGAACACTGAGTCGGGGGCTGCTGTCATGGAAAGAGTGTGCTGGCTTGGAGGCCCAGGTGCCAACCTTGGTTCCTCAGAGGCCTCAGGAAAAGCTCTTGCCTTGGTGCATCTGTTTTCTCATCTTTACCATGGGGATAACCATACTTGTGTCACATCCTTGGCACGTGGCGTGTGAGGAGTAAACATTTATTTATTTATTTATTAAAGATTTTATTTATTTATTAGAGAGCGAGCGAGAGAGAAACAGCATGAGAGGGAAGAGAGTCAGAGGGAGAAGCAGGCTCCCCGCTGAGCCGGGAGCCCGATGTGGGACTCGATCCCGGGACTCCAGGATCATGACCTGAGCAGAAGGCAGTCGCCTAACCAACTGAGCCACCCAGGCGCCCTAAATATTTATTTTAAGACCTCCTCCAGTGATTCTGGCTGCCGTAGCTTCTCTTCTGGCCCCCTGCGCCCCCCCCAGAATTCCCTGTTACCCCCACCTGTCATTGAACCCACCACAGAGGGCTTTCATACCGGCAGACTCAAGAGATGCGTGACTTGGATCTTTGGGTATATTGTGGCGACCCAGGTGCTCAGGTGGGTCGTTCCTCTGCCCTCGGACGTCTAGAAGTGTTGGATGAATGAATGTCGGGGTCGCGTGGGCCCCTTGTGGGGCAGTATTCCCAGTGCAGATGGTACCGGGGGAGGCAGGTGCGGGGGGGGGGGTGCGTATTTGTCGCACGGCCCTGTGCCTGTGTGTGGGGTGCAGAGCATACCTGGGCTCCTTCCTTCGGCATTTGGTAAGGAGCTGTGTCATGCAGGCTGCATTTCCTCAAGGTCCCGTCTTGTGGGTCTCACCTGGGAGCCGGGGGTGCGGCCTGTGGCCTGCGGTGGGAGTGAGGGCCAGTGTGCGCTCCGGTTCCTCGCCCCCCGCCGGCCTGGCCTCTCCTCGTTGGAAGCTGTGCAAGGCCCCGCCACGAGGGGCTGGTCGGAGCCGGGAGCCGTGTGGGGAGCCCTCTGGGGCACAGTGACGGCTCTGTTTCCTCCTCTGCCTCGCCAGCGGCCCCCATTCACGGCAAGGAGAGTCACGCATTCCCCCTTGAGATAAGAATAGAGCCCGACTGTGCCCCAGGACAGAGTCCAGCTTCTTCTGCCGGCCCTGCGAGGCCTGGCAAGGGCTCCCAGATGGTACTGGCATGAGTGGGCCCTGGCTGCCTGCCCCGCCGGCCCCTTGTGCATTGTGCGGCTGGGACACTGGGTGCAGTGTGCATGCGTGCCCGCCCGGCGCCCCCCAGGCCCCCGGAGACCGCTGTCTCCAGGCTCTGCTCAGGGAGGCATAGAGCCCTGGCCGGGAGGGTGGGGAGGAGAGTGGGCTGGGTGTTGCTGGCGGCCGCCTGGCAACTCCACGGCCTCCTTCTACAAGCCCAAGGTGGAGGAGACAGGAAACAGCAGGGGCCACCGATGGTGTGTGATGAACGGGGTGCTGGGGCTCCCGTCCTTGGCACCCCCCACCCCCCCGCCTGTGTCCCAGGCGGCAGATGGGACAGCCTCGCGTCTCTCCAGCAGCGGGACTGGACCAGGCACTCTTAACCCGGCACGGGGCCAGGGGTGTTCCTGGGCTCTCCTTGTGACCACGTGGGCTGATCCTTGGGGTCGTTCTCAGCCTTCCGATGCAGAGGGCAGGGCTTCTCAAAGCGTGGTCCCTGGAACCCGCCGCAGGAGCTGCAGTACCCCCTGGGAGCTTACTGGACATGCACGTCCTCAGGCCCCACCCTGGACCTGCTCAGGCAGAAACTGGCAGCGGGGCCTGGAAATCTGGGTTTGACCCCTTCTCCAGGGGGGGTTCTGATGCACGCAGGTGTTCCAGCACCACTGCTCTAATAAGTGGGTTGTTTGCACACAGGTTTCAGCGCTCTGCCCGGTCTGTCCGGGGACTCTGGTGAGTGCCGAGGGCCGTGACCTCCTGCTGGGCACACGTTTCCACCGAAAGGCATTCAGACCAAGAGATCTGAAAATATTTGTTTGAATATGGCGTCTCCCATTCAACCTAAAAAAACCCAAAAAAACTAAAAAACTTCCAACCTGCACATTTTCACATGTTCCAGTTGATTCTGCAGCTGGGTGAGGTCACGTTGTGGGGTTTTTGGGTGAAAACACCGAGCCGTGTGTCCATCAGTAACTGGTTGGTGCGGTGGAGGTGTGATAGGATGCCAGGGTTTTCCACCGCTAGCCGAGGGCTTTCCAGGAAGTGTGCAGGCGGCCGTGAGGCCAGTGGGGGGGCCAGGCTGCCCCTTCTGCTGGGGTGGGGGGGAGCTCCTGGCCGGATCTGAGAAAACAGGCATGTTGCCGAGGATTTGAATAGGGCTGCACACATACACGCAAGTGTTTGGGGAAGGTGCCTCGGTATCTGGGTCTGTCTCAACCTGCGAGGGTTCCTGAAAGTCGTTGGCTTGGGCACCAGCTGTTCTTCCAGGAAGAAAGCGTTAGAAGGGCGTGTCTCCCGGGGCAGGGCAGGATGCAGAGACACAGTGGCTGGGCCGTCGGTGAGGCTTTCGGGGTTTCCGCGGCACGGTCCCCTGGGTGGGTGGGGAGAGCGGTGGCACCTCTGTTTGCAGACCAGAAAATGCAGTCCTCTCGGCGGATTCTGACCACACCTCCCGCCCCCCTTGTCTCAGGGGCCCTGCCACCTCCCCAGCCCTCCCCGGAAGAACCAGTCTCAGTCAGTGGCTTCTGAGACTTGGTTGGACAGAATGGGGTGCAGAAGCATGGGGCAGAGGGTGACAGCGAGGAGCAAGGATGCAGTCTCAGGAGCACCCGATTAGATCTCCAGGATCTCCTTACTTGTGCTCAACCATATCCTCTCAACCGGGAAGCGGGCCCGTGGCCTCTCAGGTGGGTAGAACGTTTCCAGACGGATCTGCCGATTCAGAAATCTGTAGTAATAATCGACGGCGTTTATAGAGCATGCACTTTTAGGCACCGTGCTAAACAGTGTGCCTTTCTTCATTAACTCATTTGATCCTCACAACACAGACACACACACACACACACACACACACACGAGGGGTGACCAGGCCCATTTTACAGATGGGAAGGCTGACAGGATTTGTACCCGGACCATCTCGCCAGAACCTACAACGGAAGCCGTTGGTTGCTTCACCTGTACCCCTTCTGCACCCCCACCCCATAGAGGGGAGTGGGAACCCCTCAGCCCCTCCACTTTCCCGATCCTAAACATAGCTGCACACCCGGTTTAGCAGCTAGGTGTCCCCAGTTTGGGGTCCCAGCAGGCCTTTGCTTTCATGGAGCAGCTGTGAAGGGGAGCAAATGATGAGGAGGGACTGGCGGGGGGGGGGGAGGGTGGCATGGGGCAGGGGAGGTGCCTGGGGCCGCCTTCCCTTCGCACCTCGTTCCCCTGCCCCCAGCTGCCGACTCTGGTCCATGTGCTTTTAAAAGGGATCTTTCGCTGGCTACCTGGGATTGAGTCCTGGTTTTGCCGAACCATTTGGGGGATATTCAGTTGTGGGACGGGAAGGAAAAGCCGTGATGTTCCAGCTTTTCAAATCCTCACAACTCTGGGGGGTGATGAGACCCAAAGAGTTTAGGGCAAGGCAGAGGGAGGTGGATGGCGGCCGGAGCAGCTCCTGGTGGCTGTCTCTTCCACTGGAGCCTGGGGCCAGCCCCAGGCCAGCTGGCTCGCAGCTGGATGCATCGTGGGAGGAGATGGGAGGGTCCACAGGCCAAGGCACTGTCAGAGATGTATGCCCGAAGTCAGCCTTGACTTTCCTCCAAACAGGAGAAGCCTGGGTGCTCCGCTCACTTGCATTTCCCCGGTGGTTGCCGCTGCCGGTAAGAGTTCCAAGTTGGGGTCAGAGGCATGAGGACCCTAGGTGGGACCTCCCCTCCTGCCCATCCTTTGCCGCCAGGCTGCCGTGGCCCCAGAAGTGAGCACAGCGTGGCAAGAGCCGTCACCCCGCCTACCAGAGATGCTCGGATCAGAGGAGATGGTAGCCTGCAGGGCCCCCTCAGTCCTGGGGTGGGCACTGCCCCCGGAGATGTCGCGACCAGTTAGCTGAGGAGGCCCTAAAACCAGTGGATGCTTTGGGACGGCAGCTGGGCCAGCTGCCAGGACATTCTGTGGGAGGCTTCCAAGAGTCGAGGTTTCTAGTGCGGAGAAGAGCGCAGTTTTCGCTAACCCGGGTCGTGGTGGTTGTGGTGGTGATGGCGGAAGGGGCGGGAGGTGGGAGGAAGGAAGCCGACTAGGGGCCCTGACCAAGAACCGGGCACTCTTGGCAGGGTCCCCCGGTGCTGTCCTCCGCCCAGCAGGCTTCATGTCCCGTGACACGATGGGCGCGCTCGCAGGAGGCCCATGAGACGGCTTTCTGCTCCTTCGCGCCCTTCTGGAATGAGTTGTCTTACCGTCGACCCCCTGAATAAAATGCATGCGTTGTGGGAGCAGCGTGCCTGGGGGCAGGCCTGCGGTGAGCTCCAGGAACTGCTGGGTGAACTGGCGAGGGGCAGAAGGAAGAAAGGGTGCAGAAGAGCTGGAAGGATCTTCCACCTCGAACATCTCGCACTGTTGAGAATTGCCACCCAGCCTGCAGCCTACCCCAAACTCCCGGCTCCCCTCACCTTGCTCTGTCTGTCTCCTTGTCTCCGTGTCACATTCTCTATAGTTTACTAATCTCTTGTTTTGCTTCTCTGCCCCCCCCCCCCCCCCCCCCCTGCTGGGATGAACACTCGGTGAAGGCAGAGGTGTTGTTTTCCCTTCCTTTTCTTCCCGTCACTTTTGTTCACTGATGTGCCCCAAGTGTCCAGAAACCGCACCTGCTCGCTAAGCATTTGTCAGATGAATTGAATGGGTGGAAAGGCCCGGAAAGCGCTTGCCTAGTGTCCAGTGGGAGGGCGAGAGCCGCGTCCCCGGGGAGGTGCCCACACCGTCTGGCCGCCTGCCCTGGGCCCTGCTCTCTGTCCTGGGGTTGTGCGGGTCCCCCCGGAGGAGGACCACGCCGCCGGCTCTGAGTTGCAAGAGCCTTCCCCAATCCCCCTGCGGATGGGTGATCAGAGCCCCAGGGGCTGACCAGGGAGTGAGTGAGAGGAGCTGGGTCGCTGCTCAGGATTTTGGAGCCTGTTAGGACCGCATTCCTGAATCCCGCCCACCCCGTCCCTGCCCTGCAACTCCGTTCCCGCCCTGTGGGCCGTGGGAAGTGGAAAATGCCGGGTTGAGCAATTGAGGGTGAAGGCGAAATCCCTGTTTACTCAGCCTCTGTCATCTTGCCTTTTACAACTAGTTCCCGGCTCACCAGCTTAATCCAGGGTAGTCGCGGCCGCCTCCACACCCTGGGCGCTTCCCATTCCTCGCGGGGTCACGTCCAGCCCCGATTCCCAGCCCAGACCTCCGGCTGTGTCCCCTGGCGGAAGCCTGCAGCTCTGGGAGCAGCAAGCCCGCTTCCAGACTCTGCTCTCGGCCTCCCGCCGCCAAGGCCCGGTCTCCAGACATCACACCTGGTCCTTCCTCCAGGGCCGGGCCCCCTGCAGCCTTTCCGTGTCCTTCCAGCTGCGTAGGTTGCAACCCTCAAAGGCTTCGACTCTGCGTTGTCCCCCCTCCCCCCCGCCCCTTTTCCCACGTTCAGTTTGCCAGGTAAGCGTGTGGGCTCCTCCTTCCAAATAGGTTCTTAGAAAATGCAGCCCCTTCTCGCCACCCCTACCGTCATCCTCTTGGTGAGCCGAAGCCACCGTCCTTGGGCCCCTGGACTCTTGGGGTCACCGCCTGGCCGCTCTGCCGGGGTCCCGTCTGTTCTTAACTGACAAGCCCGATTGTGTCCCGCGGCTCCCCGGCACGTGGTGATGGGAGTAGAGCGGAGGAAGCTACCACGGTGGCCGGCAGGGCGCCACGTGACCCCCAGCGTCTGCCCCCCAGCCTCATCCCGCTGCCCCCCTCCCCTGCAGACCTTCTAGGCATGCTTCCTTGTGAGGGCCTTTGCAGCCCACGTGGGTCCCCCAGAGATGTCCAAGCCCAGAGCCCCGGGCCGGGTGCCCACACGGCAGTCCGGTTTTGCAGGTGCAGTGAAGTTAAGGCTGTTGGGATGAGGAGGGGGTCCTGGCCTATGGGGGGGGGGCCAGCATGGTGACAGGGGTCCTTTATATAAGAGGCAGAAGGCTGCATCCGGAGGAGACTGGACACCAGAAGCAGGAGGTTAGGTGATGCTAGGAAGGGGCCTCACGCCAAGGGACGACACGGCAGGCTCTGGAAGCTGAGCCACGCGAGGGATCCGTTCTCTCGCGGGGTCTCTGGAAGGGGTCAGCCCTGCTAACACCTCGGCACCAGACCCGCGAGACCCCTTCGGGCTTCTGACCCCGAGAACCCTGAGACCCTAAATCTGTGCTGGCTTGAAGCCCTGGTTTGGGGTCATTTGGGACTGCAGCCCCCTCCGGGAAAGGAGTCCGCCAGTTACCCTCAGCATCTTCTCACTCTGCCATGCCCGCTGTGTTTCCTGCTCTCCTTCCTTTTCTCCATCGCTTACCACCTTCCAGCAAAACCAGGCCTCCTGCCCGTGTGCGGGGCTTCTCGTGGCTTGGGTGTCTGCCCTCATGAGAACGCGGGTCCCGTGAGGACGCGGGATTTTGTTCTGGGACCGGTGCGTCCCAGCACCTGAGACGGTGTCTGGTCTATGAGGGGTGCTCAGGAAGTCATTTGTCGGGTGGGGGAGTGGATGATGTTCCCGGGTCTGGAATGCCCTATTCCACCCTGTCGTCTAATAAGGCCATTCCCGGGTCCCCTCCTCACGAGGCCTCCCCCCCAATCAGGGCTTTTCTGTTGGTTGCTCTTACTGGGCGTCCCGTGGCTGCAGGTGGCCCGGCCGTTTGCCCTGCTCTCTGGGGGAGACCAGGACTAAAACTTTCTTTTAGACTTTTTTTTTTTTAAAGATTTTATTTATTTATTTGACAGAGACACAGCAAGAGAGGGAACACAAGGAGGGGAGTGGGAGAGGGAGAAGCTGGCTTCCCGCCGAGCAGGGAGCCCGATGCGGGGCTCGATCCCAGGACCCTGGGATCATGACCCGAGCCGAAGGCAGGCGCTTAACGACTGAGCCACCCCGGGGTCCCGACTTTTTTTTTTTTTTTTTTAATTTAAAGGAGAGAGAGGGAGAGAGAGCATGAGTGGGGGTGGGGAGGGGCAGAGGGAGAGGGAGAAGCAGACTCCTTGCTGAGCAGAGAGCCCAGGGTGGGGCTCGATCCCAGTACCCTGGGATCAGGACCTGAGCCAAAGGCAGATGCATCACCGACGGAGCCACCTGGGCGCCCCCAAAGAGTATGGTGCACGGTTGGGAGGAGCCACGGAAGACAAGGGGCGGCGTGCTCCCGGCGAGGGTGGTTTCCCCAGGAAGCAGCCTCCGGGCCAGTAGGGGGTGACCAGCTGGCTGTTCGGGGAATACTCCTTCCCGCTGTCTTCTCTGGGGAGGACACGTTTTTGAAACACGTCCTGTGTTGGGGAGGGAGGTGATATTTGGCCCCCCTCCCCCCAGACTGTTGATGAAGTGTTCTTAAGCTAGAAACCCACAGCTGTGTTTTAGCACCGCTTCCCCCCCCCCCCCCCCCCCCCCCCCCCCACCCCCGGGGGTTTTTTTTCCCCCCCCCCCCCCCCCCCCCGCACCCCGCCCCATCCCACTGGGGGCTCCCCTCCCTGCCGCCTCCTCCCTCCCTGGTCCTCCCCCTGCTGGCTGGTGACTCACTCCGCCCTCGTCCAACAGCAACAGGCTCCCGCTCTCTGAGAAGGGCCGTTTTCCTCCGTGCCACGAGGTCCCCTCCTGATTTATGTCTTTTCATTTGGGCTAATGCTTTCCACATTTAGGTCTGAAGATCAGTGCGTGGCTCGTTGCTGCAGCCGCCGAAACCCCAGTGCCCAGCTTGGGTCTGGCACCGAGAGGACAGGCAGCTGGCCAGACAGCCCTCCAGCCAGCCAGGGCCCCCCCTCTGCTCCCCCGCCAGCCTCCCTGCCTCCAAGGGGGAGGCAGAGGGAGGGCGCAGCCTCCACTCCAGGCTTGCCTGGGATGCGTTCTCATGCCTGGTTTTCCCCCGTGGAGGGCACACATCTTGGGGGCGTGTAGAGACATAATTGCTCCGAGCCTGGTTGCTTAACACTGAAGAAGCCACGCTGTTCGGAAGTGAGAGGCCCGAGTCATCGGGTGTGGAAAAACGTTATCTTTGTGGTTTTAAAAGCCATCTCATGACACTGTGTGTGTGTGTGTGTGTGTGTGTGGTGTGTGGTTTCTTCTTCTTCTTTTTAGAACAATAATATTACCTTTGTTGCTAT